GCATTTGAACCACCAACCTTGTAGTTAGCAGTTCAGTGCTTATCCTTCAGTACCACACCAGGACTCTTAGCAGAAGTTTCTTAAATATTTATTGACTGATTATACATAAATTGGAAAATCTGTTTATTGAGAGATTGGCTAGGCTGGGCTAGCTCCAGTCATGTCTGTTGCCAGGGTGTAACTATTAATAGTGTCCCCTTTTGTTATCAAAAACAGTCCTCTTTGGAGGATAAATTACAAGGTCACAACATTTATGGAGCTCCTATTTGAAGTTAAACACAGCCATCTGCTGGACACAGAGATATTGCAAGGGTAACCTTAGTCTCTAAACTGGAATCCATAATTGCAAAAGCCTGTCTGGATATTTGGTACTAAATAAAGCATGCTGAGTATATAAAATATCATCATCTTTTACTATAATAATTATATTTAAATTAGCAAAAATAAAAACAGTGCAATATGACACAATCAGAATGAACTATTCAGTATTGAGTAACAAAATAATTAAAGCTGCTTTTAATGACCTCATTTGCTAGATTCTTTAACAATCAAAAGCCACAGAATACAATAGGCATATTTATAATTAATTGAAATTACATAAGATATAGAAATAAATGATTTTCTGAAATATCATTTCAAGCGTATGGAAGTAGAAATTTTGAAATGTTGATATACCCTGAAATATAACTTAATATTATTCTAACTAAAAATAAAAAAGTTCAATTATTCAATAACTTAAAACTACTTTAATAGCACTCCTTAATATCATTAAAAAGGAGAGCCAAAATCACTAGAAATCATTTTTGAATTTCTCAAGAAGTAAATGTTTTGAATTTCATCCATGGATAGAGACTTGCTCTTAGTAAACACAGGTGAGGCACTGAAATAAATCACACAAGTATTTTCCTTGGCGAAATATATCTACTCCTCACTTTTCCACATAGAGTCCAAAGACAAGGTCATCTTGGGAAGCAGCTGTTATGCAAAAGTGGAGGATGGTCACTTGTAACAATAACATCGTTCCAAAACTGTCAAAGGACATCCTCACATAGCTGCCAAATCACTGAGACCCGTGCCCAGGCCAGGCTGACACAAACCTTAACCACTCGAGCCAGGGTTCCCCTCATCTCACACCCAACTGTTCATTACCAGCAGATGTACATTGATAGTACAACAGTAGGAAAGTGGATACTCCACTGTTGTCAAAATGCAAGATGGTGGATAGCAAAGTAGTCAGTAAGTGAGGAGTAGGTGTACTATCAGTGAAAGGACAAATGTGATTTGTATTTTACATCAGATTGACAGAAAATCTGCTATTCCACAGAGATTTTTCTACCTAGTATTTTAAAACAAATCTTACCTTGAAAAGATAGAAATTGGGGTCCTTGTGCTGCCCAAGTTTACACTGTAACCTCTGTATTAGCAGTTTTATTTGGTCAGTTCGTGACACTGTGATCAGAGGTTCTGCTTTCCGGATCTCATCTACTAAGGTCTTGACGTCAGTACTGAAATATACCCCACCCCCCAAAAAGAAAACAACAGTAATAATAGTAACCTTTTTTTTTGGTCTATTTCAAAAACTGCACATGCATTTGTAACACGAAAAAATGTATGACTGATGAAGCACAACATTTATAAAGCGTGAGGGAATCCATCATCCTTCCCAAGAAAAGTGTAAGAGAAAAAATCTATCCCACAAACCAATAAAGAGCATGTCTCATGGATGAAAGAAAGACTCCTGGGTTCTCAACATGCACTTTCCAATGACTGAGATCTCCCGCATAAGGGTGTAAAGGGATACTCATTGGCCGCCCCCTCCCCGGAAGGCAGAATGTTTCCTGCTCCTTAACATGATCTCATTTTCTTTCTTTTTTGTCTTTTCTTATTATTATTATTTCCTTTTTTATTTTTTTTTAAACAATGTTGCTGTTTTTAAGTGCCATCAAGTTGGTTCTGACTCATAGCGACCCTGTATAGGGTTTTCAAGGAGCAGCTGGTGGGTTTAAACCAATGACCTTATGGTTAGCAGTTCAGTGCTGATCCTACGTCATACCAGGAGTCCCTTTAAACAATAAGCAAGACTATAGAGCTGTAATCAAGATGTATTGATCATTACTGGTGATTGGAATGCAAAGGTTGGGAGCAAAGAGGAAGGACCAGCAGTAGGAAATATGGCCTTGGTGATAGAAATGCTGCTGGAAAACGAATGATAGATTTCTGCAAGACAAATGATTTATTTCAAATACCTTCTTTAGACAGCATAACAGACGACTATACACATCGATCTCACCAGATGGAACACATAGAAATCAAATTGACTACATCTGTGGAAAGAGAAGATGATAAAGCTCCATATCATCAGTGAAGACAAGGCCAGGGGCAGACTGTGGAACAGACCATCACTTACTCATATGAAAATTCAAACTGAATCTGAAGAAAATGAAAACAAGTCAACAAGAACCAAAATATGACCTTGAATCTATCCCACCTGAATTTAGAGACCATCTGAAGAACAGATTTGATACATTAAACACTAAAGAAAGAAGACCAGAAGGGTTGTGGGATGACATCAAGAACATCATATGTGAAGAGAGCAAAAAGTCATTAAGAAGACAAGAAAGAAGGAAATGGTCAAAATGAATGTCAGAGGAGACTCTGAAACTTGCTCTC